CCCAGCTGGGATTAGGGCCCAAAAGAAGACAGCAGAGACCCAAAAGTAAGAAAAGCCTGAAGGCTCCCCATGCAAGGTGGGGCCAGAAGTTGCTAGGCGTTTGCAAAGTCTCCCACAAATCTGATTTCCCAGCCTTTCAAAGCTCCCTGAAAGCTTGAGCTGAGGAGTGTCAAGAACACTATAGGTCAGGAGCCCGTGGAGGAGAAGATGGACAAATCTCTGTGCTGGAATTGCCCTGAAAGGAACATCACCACCCAGTGAGAGGCCTCCTCCACCCCTTCACAGCAGCGGTGGGGATCAGGGGCCAACTAGAGAGTCCATGACACAACCTGGGCCCTGCCGGAGATTTAGTGCAGGCCTGAGCCACACATACAGTATCTCAGCATGCTCTGAGATAGAACCAAGTACATCCTTAAGAGAAAGCTACAGCTTTTCAGGAGTGCCCAATGATAGGGTCAGAATCTCTGTTGGCCAGTTTGTCCCTATGGTAATGCCCCCTTGTCCACAGGAGACACATTCCAAAATCTCTAGTGGGGACTTGAGACTGCAACTAATACCCCAACTTACATATACTAATCACTGATGGGCAGGTAGCACCTACAGTGTGGATACACTGGACAGACAGGTAATATCTCACTCAGGAGAGGCAGAGCAGACTGTGAGATTTCATCACACTACTCAGAAGGGTCTGCCGTTGAAAACTTGTGAACTGTTTATTTTTTTAATTTTCCATTTAATATCTTCAGGCCATGGTTGACCTCAGGTAATGAAACTGCAGAAAGAGAAACCAAGGATAAGGGGGCTGTTGTATTCTTTTCTTCCGTCTCCATGATTTAACACTTGTTTTTCTCACACCATCCCTTCCTCCTTCCTTCCTTCTCCCACCTTCTTCTCCCTCCCTTCCCCCTCTTTTTTTCATGTGTCTGCTCCCCCTCACCCCCTCCATGCTTCAGGCCCTCCAGAAGCCAAGTCCCTTACCCAGAAACCCAGCGGAGACAACCTCCACCCACCCACCACGAAGGTTCCACCTGGCTCTGCTTCTTGCAGCACCAAGGCAAGAAGCTAAGAAGCGAGTACCCGGGAGGTGTCTGAGACTCTGACCCCACTCCTCATGGTGCCCCAAAACCAAGAGGATAGGACCAGGTGCTGGCATCCACCCAAAGCCAGTGTGAAGAAGGAAAATGAGGGGGTGGAAAAGAATGACAAAGAGGAGGAGGATGGCTATCACATGACAGAGAAAAGTGTGAACATGAAGGAGGATGTGGGCGTGAACAGGTGGGGAAAGGTCCAGGAGGTATGACCCCAGGACAGAGTGGCAGCTGGCCCAGGAGTCTCGATGAGGCCAGGATCCCTGGGTGTTCTGCCCAAAGTGTGAGTCCTTCTTCCATCTCTGGGCCCCTGAGCTCAGCAGAAGGCCAGGCACAGAAAGCCCCGGGAACACGCCCTGACTAGAGGAATGATGCAGAGAATGACATAGATACAGCCAGGTATCCTGGATGAGCACAAGGGGGAAGAGGCCTCTGCACAGCAGCTCAGAAGCAAAGGGCCAGGGAAGAGGTCACCAGGAGCATGGACAATGGACTTTCGTCTTTGGTCCTAGGGTAAATGCTGCCGAGCCTTGTCTCCTGCTGGGCTTGGGGCTTAGCTCACTAACAAGAAGCGTGGATAGAGAAGGCTGGTGGCTCACCAATGGGTCCGCTCATTTGTTATGCAGAGGTCTTCAGGGTGCTCTTTGTGCACAGCTCCCCATGAGGCCCCCTTGCCCAGCTCTGAGTGTGCTCGGGGAGTGGGCATAAGCACGGGCAGGGGTGTAGGGGAAGGGCCTATGTGTCCCTGCAGAGCTGAAGGGAATAGCCAAGTGATGACGGGACAGAGGAGGGACTGCAGTGATCCCTAGCCAGGAGACTTAAGACCAGCTCCCACTGCTGCTGCATGGCTCACTTTCTGCTCTACTCACTCAGCAGAGCGTCCTGGGTCAGGTATTTTCTCCAAGAGAACTTGCACATAAGTTTCCAGGACCATGTCCCCCACCCAAGGCCACTCTTCCCCCACCAATACCATGGTCAACATCTGACTTTGCCAGACAATCTTACCATGGCATGAATCTCTGGAATCAATCAGAAAATGAAGTTACCAAGAGGTGTTTTATATCTTTGGCTTGGTAAATACTTCCCACAATCTCTTCCGGATTTTCTGGCTGTAATTTCCAAAGCAGAGCTTGCTAGCACGCTGCCAGACACACAGTAGGCGTTCTTCACTGGCCCACACTGCTGGGTCTACTTCTTCCCATTTTCACCTCCTGTCCCAAGCTGAGACAGGCCTCCAAGTTCCCATGGTCATTTAAAAGTAACAACTTCCTTTCTTTCTAGACCAGAGGTTCAGCACACAATTTCAGTCCTAAATTGTCTTCCTCAGCCACTATCACCACCACCATCTCGAGCTACCTCCTTGCTGCTCCCCCAAATGTCTCATCGCCAGGGTCCCTTGAGATCCCAGGGTTCACTAGAGGCTGCTTCCAGAAAGGTAATCAGGTCCCTGCCTGAGTCTGGCTGGGAGCCGGCCAGCGCACTGGGACGCCCCTGCCATGGCCGGCTGAAGCTTGTTGTCTAACCCGGCCTGGGGGTGCCTGGGAGCGGGCAGGGAGGGTGGCCTGGCAGGGCTTGGAGAGCAGGCACACCCTGGGTGAGGTCATGCCTGCCTCACACCTCTGGTATTCCGGCTGATCGCTATCTCCCCTGCAGCCCTCAGGTTCCGCAGGCGGCGAGATGCAGGCAAAGAGGTGCTGATACCACAGCCTGGCCCCGGGCAAGACGGGGGCTGTGGCTGAGCCCTGGCCTGCCTGTCTGCTGCCTCACTACCACCTCCACCCCACCTCCTGCCCCCCACCTCCACTAGATGGACAGAGACAGACAGAGCTGGCTGCCTGCTCCCTAGCACACTACCTCCACTAGGCTGAAGCCTGTTCTGCTACTGGGCAAGAGGGAGGGGGCCTCAAGGGCCAGGTCCCAAAGGGCTTCCCCTTGGGAACACACTTAGTCACCCCCACCCCATCCTGTCAGTCTCCTCCTCTCCATCTCAACCAAACTTTAATCATCTGATAACAACTGTCCATAAGAGCACTGAATGATACATGCAAACTTTGGAGAATTAAACGATGATCATCACAAACAAGACTGTGGTAGGAAAACTGGCTATGTGACTGATTTGGTAAGTCCAGATCCTGGCAAAGCCTGAGGCGTTGGCTTGGGGGTTCTCAAGAACCAGAGAAGGTCCAGCCTTGGATCCTTTCTCTTAAGAGGAGGGTGGGGGGCTCCAAAGGGATCAGAGAGGGCCCGTAAATGCCAGCAGCTCTCAGAAGACCTGTTTATGTTTCCTGTTCCCTTACTCCCAGCACTCCTGGCCTGGCCAGGAAAACTGAGGCCCTAAGATAGTGGTAGACCAAGCTCTTCACCTGCTTTCATACCCCAGCACACACATCCCTCTGCACTCTCCTTCTGTACACTACAGCTCCACCAGCGGTTCTCCCAGGTGGTCCCCAGGTCAGCAGCAGCAGCAGCAGCAGCAGCAGCAGCAGGACCAGGGAATTCACTCCTTACAGAAGCATGTTCTCAGGTTCCTGCCCAGACCTCCTGAGTGAGCTCCACAGTAGGATCTCTGAGGGTTTGCTGAATACTTTGTGTTGCATGCTCCAACTGAGAAGCCTGGCTCTACTCTTCTCGAACTTTACCAGTATGCAACTCACCTAGGATCCAGTTGAAGCACAGGCTGGGGATGCATGTGCAGATTGGGATTCAGAAGGTACAGTACAAGACCTGATATTCTGCACAAAGCACTTCATAGAAGCCTCCCATGGGGCTAGTCCTGCTCATCCTAAGACCACATGTGGTCAGTACACCCTTGGCTCTCCACCTGGTTGCCCTTTAGAATCACCCAGGGAGCCTTTAAAAATATCAGCGCTTGGGCCCTGGCTCCAGAGGTCTGAATTCATTGATCTGAGGTGAGACTGGGGCATGGGTAGGTTTTACAATCTCCCTAGGCAATTCTAACACATCAACGCTCTAGGCCGAGGGTGATGAGAGGGTGTGCTTGGCACACACACACACCCCATGGACCTGCTCACCCTCTGGGATCTCCTTCCCTCCTCAGTCCTCCTGATCCCCTTCCTCATCTCCTGGCCTACATTCTAGACACTTTGCCAGGCACAAGCACAAGCAGGTGGACACGCAGGGAGGCATGTAGGCAGACAGACTCAGACACACATAACCGAGAGCAGATACAGTAAGCATGCGGTAGGCACATGGGCACACAAACACATGGACAGGACATTTGTATACATGCTACAAATGCCCGTGGGTATATAGAGGTAGAGGAACACACACACATACATACACACACACATACACACACACTAACATATAACATGCAAGAGCATACATCTTCCACCAAGGAGTCAAAGACCCCCTTTGTATGTTCCCAGTGATGTGACCTTGGTCTCCTCATATGAGATGATGAGATCTATGGCCCCAGCAGTCCTATCTGTCCCTGCCAACATTTGTGTCCGCAGAGAGACACGTCAGCCAGCCCTCAATAACCAGGAAGGCTGGACATAGGGCCCTTCTTGGGCGCAGCACCGCTGTGGTTCTCTAGGTTGGGTGCTGCCCTCCTCAGAAGCCATTAGTGTCCCAAGATCTCTCTAAGGGGCCTTGGGAGCCAGGCCTGCCCCTTGTGCCCAGGTGGGCCAGGGAGCAGACCCTTCCTGGGGGCTGTAGCTGTCTTCAGCCCTTTGCACATTACAGTGCTGCTGTGTTGGAGCCTCTTTTTAGTTTAAAATCCTGCACCCCCACCCTGAGCGCTGGGGCTCTCCACAGACAGGTCTGATTGATGACTCAGGGGGACCACGGCTGCCGCCAGCCTATTTTATGATGTCATTAGGCAGCTTCGGCAGCGGGAAGGAATCCCTCCTGACATCATAAAGGACTTGATATTTCGCTAATGTTATCTTGGCGGCGTGTCGCCCTGACATTTTCTCTTTGCAGCGCTCCCCGCAGGACCAAGAGTTGTCTAACTACAGCCTGGAAAAAATGCAAAACAGACAAATGCACCCTCCGTGGACAGCGGGAGAAAGCTAATAGACCAGTCCCCGGCTCCCCACCCGCAGAGGTGGTTTAGGTGGGAAGCATGATGTGTTTGTCAAGAGGGACCCAGGGCTGCCTTCCTGCTGCCATCCCTTCCTACCAGGGCCCTGAGGCTCAGCAGCAAGAGAAGGCGGGTGCCAGGGTTCCAGAACCAGCTCAGCCACCCAAGGTCACGTGATTTACGCAAAGTCCTTGCCCTCCCCAGACCTCAGTTAACCCATCCACTCTCCCACGTGGGGGATAGGACCAGACAGTTTTAAAGACTGTCTTACGCAATGCTCACGGCCTTGATGCTTTAGGAGAGGACGATGATGTCACCTAAGTAAAAAGCAATCCTGTCTGAGGCTGAGTTGAAACTCTAGGCTGATGAGGTAGGGATGGGAGTGTGCTGGGTGGAACGATGTACAATCCACCTCCCTCTGTGAATGGTTTTGGGGAACAGATTCAGAATATCAATATCAGCCTGAAGCTCATTGTCTTCAAACGACCAAGAGCAGCTACTGGCTCTGAGACAAAATTGAGGTGGCATTAGGGCAAATTTCCTATACAGCTCTAGAAAGCAAAAGCCAGAAAGGCCCGCTTCTGGGGTTGCTGGGTGGCTCCAGGCTACTCAAAAGAGAAAGACCCTAGGGCACTTCCTAGATCCACCCCTAAAAGGAGCTTGGGGGCAATCAACCCAAATCCTCTCCCACCTGGGCAGAAATCACCCACCCCTCCCTGACCCCAAAATCCCTGATGAATGGGGCCTCCAGCTCATCAGCTGCAGAGAAAGAGAGCTCACTTCTCTCCCTGGCAGCCTGGCCAGCACTCCCCCCTTGGCCTCCTCCCTTGGCCTCCCTCAAGGGTTTTGAACTCTGCCTGGGACATGACTGGTCCCTCTACCGCAGGACGGCCCCACAAAATATGCACAAACGTCTCTCCACCCTCCAAGCATACAGGGGTTGGAGCCAGCATCTGTGCTTGGTTTTCAGAGTGGAATATTTGCCCTCAAAAAGAACATAACTGTCCATTTTAACCTGAGGTTCACAGTCAGAACTGTATTTCAATATAATGAGTCTCCTTTGTAACCCTATGTATCTTATTTTATGCATTTAAAATACTACTGGAGAAGAGTCTATGGGCTTCTCCAGTCAGCTAAAGAAGCCCATGTTATTTTTTTAATGTTAGAATTCTTGGGGCTGGGGATTTAGCTCAGTGGCAAAAGCGCCTGCCTGGCAAGCGCAAGGTCGTGAGTTTGGTTCCTGGTACCAGAGAAAAACCAAAAAAAAAAAAAAAAAAAAAAAAGAATTCTTGTTCTACGATCGAGACAAATCTATGTTTATCCACAAGTGGGGTCAGATCTGGGGAGGTCATTCAGGCTTGGTGCGTCTCCAGCTCCCTCACGCCCCCTTGGAAGAAATGGTTAAAAGTAGAGGGGGCAAAGCCATTCCCCCATTCACCCAGCCCTCACCTCAGCTGCTCCAAGACCTGCTCGGAGGCCTGACCTACACCACCGTGTGTCTTCTTCGCCTGAGGTGATTAGACCCCCACCCCTGACCCAGCTGTCGATGGCACCTGCAGAGGGGCAGGGATCACTCCCAGAGAAGCAAGACCAGACCCAACCTCAGCTTCAGGGTAGTCTCATCAGGTTACAGAGACACATGCCAGCGGGCCCAGCTGCCTGCCCTTCCCCAGCACTCCAAGTACCTCCTACAAGCCCAGCTCTGCTCACGCTGCTTCCAAACCCACAGAGCCCCTCCCCTTCCCTTCTCGGAGTGAGCACTCCTCACCTTCCCAGTGACTGGCTATCTGCCTTTGTCTGAGTTTAGCCCAGGGCCTGACTCCCTTACTCCCATGGAGAGGCCTGGCTGCATGGGAACTTCCAAAAGACCACGATGGCCTTCAGTGCACTTGCAGCCATGGGGCAAGAGGGAGGCTGCCAGGGGAGCACGTAGTCCTGACCCTCAGCTGGCCCTGGAGGTCACACTGCTGACTCCCAGGCCGTGTCAGGAATCAGTGCCTGGGTGCTTCCTCCTAAGCTGACTGCCCCAAGCAGGAAGACCACAGGGCAGGTTCCTCCTAAGCCTCCACTGCCTGGCTCATGAAGTAATGCTGGCCCACTGCCCTTTCAGAGTTGCGGAAGAATGATAACCTTTGATTGCCCAAGCTGTAGATGGCCACTCATGGGCTCTGCTACTGCCCAAACATGAACAATTCATTCTTAGCAAGAAGTTTATTGAGCACCTATTATTTGCCACCCACTATTTCAAATGGTACAAAAAAGGCAAAATCTCTGCTCTCAAGGAGCTTCCTTCTATTCTCTTCAGAAGAGACAAGCAACATAGACTATAAGAAAAAGGATGGTATAAAAGATTTTGACAAGTTTCATGGATAAAAAATAAATCAGAACAGAATGTTCCTCAGGAAGAAGGTGACCTTTGAGACCTGAAGGAGGATCGAGGGAGCCATGATAATGCCGAGGGGAAGAGCATTCCAGCAAAGGACACAGCATATACAAAGGCCCTGAGGCAGGATGTGTCTGACACTTTTCAGTACAGACAGCAGGGTAGCGTGGAAGAGGTTAGTGATATATGGGAGAACAGTAGAGACAGTCACTAGTGGGGTGGAGTTTAATCGTGGGGCCTTGAGGCCACTGTGATGACCTTGGCTTTTACTCCAGATGAGACAGTTTACTGGAGGTTTTGAGCAGACAAGTGATAAGACATGACTTCCATGTTACGATCCCTGTGGCTGTAGTATAGAGAAGAGACCCTTGGGAAGTGGGAGGAGATGATGGGGCTTAACCTGCTGCCATGGCAACAGAGATGGACAGAAGTGGTTGGATTCTAGGTTTATTCTTAAGGTGGAAGGATAGATGCCAGCCACTGCTCCTGGCCTTGGGCACCATCCTGTGAAGTGAAGCCTCTTCCCCCATTGCACAGATTATAAAACTGAGGCTCCAAAGGTCACAGAGGCTACATATGGAAGCTGGGCTTATCTAGACATGAAGCCCAAATTCTCCATGCTCCGTTTCATTCCCAGCCTGGTCAGGATTCCAGCGAGGGGAAGATCCAGCCACAGACCTGAAGGGAAAGGAGCGAGTCAAGACACCAGCTGAGAAATTCATGCTAATTTGGAACTACCCAGAAATGTCATCTTAACATGCTTTCTCTTTATAATTAAAGTTTAAATGATACTTACTAGTGTCAGGCATTTTTACTTTTATTTATATACTTTCCAATTTTAATCAATTTTTAAAGTTTTGTCCAAAATCATCAGCTAAGGGAGAAGACCACAAAGAGAAAGGAAGGAAGGGGAGGCCTCTGGTAACTGCAAGATCCAGACAGGGGCACCTTGTTTGCACCAGAATCATCCTTCAGCACTCACGTTCCCAGCTGTGCTGTGAACCTGGGTACCCAGCGATGAATCTGACCTGGTTCCTGCCCCAAAGGATCTCTCAGCAGATCAGGAAGGAGACACTTACAGTCAGCACATGAGCAGAACCATGTCCAGGTGAGGTTACCCCACAGGGATAGAGACGGGAGGAAGAACACCTTAAGTCAAATCCCAGAGAATGTCCAGCGATGGCAGAAGTCACTCTAGTTAGACAAGCCAAGCGGAGGAGTCCTTGGAGCAGAGGTGCATGGAAGCCTAGCCGCAGGTGTTCCAGCAAAGGGTGGGGCCACCTTCCACCCTTGCTGCAAGAGGGCAGCAGCAATGCCTGCCAAAAGAAGGAGGAGAAAGCTTGGGTTCCCAGCCTGAACTTCCCCGAGGGGCAATTATTCACAAGCAATGGGAAGACAACCACTTTAATTTAAATGGCCCAGGAGCCCATGTGGCTCAAACCGAGGACACGTGGGAATGAGATAGGGAGCCTCGCTAGAGGAGCTTCTAAGGCTTCATCTGTCGCCTCTATAGCAGCCGAGGGCCCAGTCTCTTCAAGTAGGTTGAAAGGTGGGAAGAAAAGAAGGAGAGAAAAAAGAGAAAGGACAGGGAACAAAAAGAACAGAAAAAGGATAGGAGATGAGATAAGGAAAGAGAGAGGAAAGGGTAAAATAAGTCCCAAACAGCAAACAGGTCCTTCTCCAGGGGAACCGTGCCTGGTATGTCAGGGGCAGCACCCTGGGAAATCCAAAGCCAAAAGTCCCTCCCAGCAGAGCCGAGGAGCACCAGAGTCCAGGAGCCTCAGCCGCAAGGCAAAAACAGAGTGACAATCTAGAACTGCTGCAGATACACAAAAAAAGTCTGTTTCTTCTCATCTGGACACAGCCATGCCTGCATCCTGAGGTAGATTCTAACACTGTCATGGGTAAAGGTACACACCCAGCAGTGCACCAACATGTGAGCATCACTGCAGACACTCACTGACACGAGTACATGGGCAGACTTATAGATGTGTGTGTGACAGAGAGCACAGGGTGCTGGGAAGAACTCGAATGCTGACACAGAGGTGCAGTGACATGGATGTACGCCACAGAAGGCCTGAGTCATGTCCGCAGACACTGACAGAGGTGTCCAGTGCTCCCCAATAGGGCACACTCACACACACACTGGAGGAGGTGCACAGTGATGGAACACTTGCAGATTCCGGTGGAAATGGGCAGACTCTGACAGACACAGGCAAGGAGTTTCATGTGCACTGCAGGCCGACACTGACACACAGACACAACTTGCCACCTAGGAATGCACATACACTTTTCTATATGAACACAGGTACCCAGACATATCCTCAGACACACGTACACAGAAAGACATGCTTGGAGACACAGCTGACATGCTCAGGCACTGACAGCATCCAGGCAGACATCGGGCTGCTAGCCTCTGTTCGGAGGTCCAGCCTGGCTCTCAGCATCCCTGAGCAGACAGTCCTTAAGCCAGCTCCTCTCTTGCCCCATTCCTGCCAACTTCTGGCTTTGGCCAGGTCCCTGAAGCTTGGGCCCACCCACCAGCCCTTCTTCTGCCCACTGGCCCTAGCCCAGGCCCCAGGCCCCAGGCTCCAGGATGCCAATTGCCCCATTCTCCCAGGTGCCAACTCAGCCAAATTTCACACCCAGAAGTGGAGCCAGGCCAGCAGGGCTTGTTGAAGCCTGCTTGGGGCATCAGCGTGGGGGTGGCAAGAGGGAGCCAGGATCCTGTAGTGGCAAGGAGGAAAGGCTACAGCCTGATAAAGCTGCCAGCTTCTTCTTCAAGGTATCTACCCTCTCCGCTCCTCAGGCTCACCACCTCTAAAATGGGCCAACATGCCTTTCCCACTGACAGGTCAATTAAACGGCACATCTCCTTGCAGATCACAGAGAGATTATGCCTAACCTTCCCACACTGATACTTTGCGGTAACCCTAACACATATTTCATTTTCCTTGTTTTATACCAAGAAGCTGAGCTCAGGAAGAATAAGTAACTGATTCAAGGGAGCAGACAGCACTAGAACCAGGGTCTTGCTTCATCCATATCATTCATATCTTCAACAACTATGCAACCCATGACCTGCCAGAGTCCAAACACCGGTCTGCTGCAGACACTGCTAACCCAGCACAGTAACTTCTGGTGAATCTTGACTTGGCCACAGAACCCTTCTCAACACAACTCTTCACTCAGCTATTCCTAACTGGCCAGAGCTGTACAACTGAGGTGACTATCGAAGAAATTTTAATACAGTTTTCAAAGGCTGTTTCCATCCAAGCTTTCTCCAAGAGAAGGGAGACACGGTGGACAATCAGGACAAAACAGTCACCATCATCACTCCATGTCAAGGAGGAAGGCACTCAGGCTCAGGCACATGTGGGAGTCTAAAGCCACACAGTTAAGAATCAGAAGTGGAACTGGGACCCAAACATCAACTCCTATTTGAGGGCTCTTTGAGACTAAGCCCCCACCCGGCAGGAAAGACCAAAGGGTACCAGCGTCCAGAGGAGCCAGGGGAGCAGCAAGGCTCAGTCTCCTCCAAGCAGAAAGGGATCAACCCTACAACTAATTGGTTCAGAGTGCTTCTTTTGACCCTAATTAGCTATTTGTCATGTCTCCATTTGCATACCAGAAAAGAGGCAAATTTGCATATTTGTAAATGAGGCCGGGCCTGGATGTGGGTTCTGGAAGAGCCTGGCAGTTGCTGGCAGGCGGGGAGGCAGCTGGCTCTTGCCACTGAAGCCTGGGCCGCCACGGAATGAAGAGATTTGGAAGACAGCTCCTTGGCTCAGGGCTACAAGGTGCTCTCAGAGGGGGTCAGACGAGACAGCCCCCTGTCCCGCCCCAGGCCGAGTGGTGGGCAGTAAGAATGGGCCAGACTAATGCTGCTATTTGAATTACTTGAAACAAGGAGGGGGGAATATAAAGTAATCTCAGGACGCTCTGTGCTGGGAAACCTTCTGTTCGTGTCCTTGGATAGAATCCGTAACATTCGCAAGGGGGAAAGGAAAAAAATTGGGGAAAGAATAGAGGTGGGGAGTACACCTTAGCCTCCCCTTTCTCTCTGTCTGTCTCTGTCTCTCTGTCTGTCTCTTTCTCTGCCTCTCTCCCACAGTCTCACTTTGACACACACCTACAACCCACTTACACGTACACACCCATACACAAATATCTCAGTCCTCCCAGAAGCACCCTGACACACACAACACCTCCAGACCCGCAGAGGTACACACACAACTCTAACTGGAGAGGCACATTCGCACATGCAAACATTCCCAGACTTTCCTCGACATACACATTCACGCCCTTACACATACAGACACACACTCAAACACTTGAACATAGATGTAGGCACACAGACTCACTTAAGCTGTGCGTAAATATTTACACACAAGACATACTCACGCGAGCACATCCTTGCTAAGACCACATTTCCTGGCAAATTCTGGGAATTCTGACCCCTCTGCCAGAGTTGCTGGTGTCTTTCTGGGGAAGAGACAAAGGAAGCTAGGGAGCTATACTTCCTAGGAAAGAATGGGACCCGAAATCAGGATTGGTTCCCTCCCAAGGAAGCCGGTGACTAACAAATAGCCCAGTGTTTTCTGGGCTTTGACCTTGAACTTGAAGATGGGTCTAGCGGGCCAAGCAGGAGAGCAGGGAGGGAAGCAGCGATGCTTTGGTGGAGCCTGGCCCACACATCATTGCCTCAGAATTTCTATGTAAACCTTAGAGGCCAGTGTGACTAAGGTGGCACAAGCAGCCGCAACCTCAGGCACTGGGGCACTGAGGTGTCCCGTTCAGAGGGAACCCCAGACACACGAGGCTCCCAGACTCCAGGGCTCAGGTCCTGGGCACTGGGCCTGGAGGCACAGGGTCAGGACCAAAGGCTTCAGCCTCTGTCCCCACTCCCCACACCTCTCCCCGAAGCCTGCATCTCAAAAGGCAAGCTGAATAGCTCTGTATTTGTAAATTAAATATAGCTGCACTTTGGCTTTCCAATGAGCTAGGAAGGAGAGAAAGAGAAAGAAAAAGAGAGAGAGGAAGAGAAGAAAAGCTGCCGCCCTCAGGAAAGTCTGGCTGGTACAGATTGCCTGAGTCATGAATATTCATCTGGCGAATGAGGAGAGCGGGAGTTTGCATAACAGCTCCACCCACCCAACTGAAAGAAATGTCACCGCCTTTGCCAATAAAGTGCCAAAGGAAGCCGGTAGAGGCTGCCAGCCAGACGGTGCCAAACTGCTGACTTCCACTCCAAGGCGTGGAGAAAGCACATTGTTTCCGGCCCAAGGAGCCGCCACTTGGGGCTGGGGGAATGGAGTTGGCTGCTGGGAGAGAACCAGGAAGAAAAGTTTCACTTGCCACCCACAGGAAGCCTGGTGGGCAGAGCGCCTGGGCCACAGCCCCCTACCCAGCCCCTCAGAAAAGAGGCTCACGCCCACCTGCCCAGGGCCCCCACCTCGGCCACCACCAAGGGCCCAGGTTCCAGCAGTGTGCACTGCAGCTCGCAGCTGAGAGGCCCATGCTTAGGAGGTGCCTTGAAGAAATCTCAAATGGATCTTCGCGAGTCCTCAATGGTTACTAGAGACCAAGAGGCAAGGGGACAGGTGTGGCACTTTGGGACCTGGAAGTTCTCATTTTACAGAAGAAAACACCCTCACTGAAGGTCACTTCCTTCTCTGGGTCATGCACAGAGCCAGGGATCAATCCTACTGTCTCATGACCTCCTGTCCCCCAAATAATCTCTGTCCTCTGTCACTCTGGTCCTGAAAAGTCCCCTGGTCCCCAGGGTGTG